AAGTTTACCCGTCCCATTAAATTATTCCATGATGCCTGATAATCTAAGAAACGATATGAAAAAGAGTTTGTCTAAACGGTAACCATTACATTAGAAGATGTGTGTTCTCTTGGTGCTTAATGGATTGCCGTTCACCGGAGTCCGAAAAAAGGTTTATATTCTTAAGAAATTTCATAATCCGTTATTCTTTTTAGGCTGAAAATTTTCCGGGGCTAATTTTCGCGTCTGCATTTTGTGATCATGAATACATTAATTAAAGATAACACTTTGCTCTAGCTGATGTCGCACATTGTGTCATATCAATGCAAATACGTCAAAAGTTTGAAAACACAACAAATTGCCGAGAGGATATTTCTTCGCTTCCTTACTGCATGTCAAGTAGAAGAAAATATTGTGCTCCTAACAAAGGCATTTAGGTTTCCTGATGCGAACAAGTAAGCATTTCGCCTACTTGTTAGGACAGAGATCTCACCTAACTAACAAAAATCATCTTATTTGTTAGGGAAGTAGCTGAGCTAAATTCTGATTATCGAATAATTTACTGATAACGTGTAAATAACAATAGAAACGGCCATCTTTCTTGCGTCGAGTTTTATGTCAATTTGGAATCAGTCGGCAGGACTGTCCGTTTGTAGCAACCGACTTGCTTAAAAAACAATGGAGACTTGGCAATCTCCATGATCATTTGTAAAGAGAGTCATGGCAACTTTGGGGCAATAATATTAGCAATAAAGGAAAAAGTTATATTAACTTTCAATTAACTTAAAAGGTTGGTAGCCTCACCGGCTCGGCAATTTTGTCGACCAATTAAAAAATATATATCTCCGTGCATATTTATTCTTGACAGCAGTCAGAGTCATCTGAGCTCAATTTTTGGGTTTGTTTGCAGGTGTTTAACGAAACACTGTTAAAGCTTGACTTGTTGGTTTATTGTCGTAAAAGTTTCTCCTGCAAGCAATGTTATAATCACGCTTTGTTCAAGGTTAGTAACTTGCAATTGGTATCAACAGTTTTGTTAGTTTAAATAACCTACTTAAGCTGGCAAAAAAGACGTGGATTAGGCACCTGGAAGTATTATAAAGTGTACAGAAGAAGGAAAGTGGAATTATTTCCTTCCTCCTTGTGCCAATGCTCTAACATAACAGTGAAATAATTTCAATTTAGTTGAACATTGAGTCTTTTTATAAAACATTTTTTTAACGTTAGCTGAACTCGGTAACATGCATAACTTCGTGAACAATTCTGCGCCTTTTGCGTTGTCTGAGCCATTTTGTTCGACATTTGACTGTTGATTCAAACAGCGGAACTTTTCATTGCGCATAGCTCTCGATAAGTAGATGCAGACTAAGACAATTTCAACGCTCCGTGTAAAAGGCAAAAGGAAGTTGTTTGAAAAAGCTAGAGATCCTTATAATATGTTTCGAATGCAACAGAAATTCTTATTTAAGAAATAACCTAGAGGTAAAAAAGGGTCCCATTTTTTTGGTTTTTTTGGTGTCAAATTTCCGGTTCTTTACCACATTAAAATTTGCTGAATCTCATTAATGCATCGAAAACGAAAAACAGCTTTATATTAACCAAAGTCGTGACAAAAAATTTTTTTTACCTAACTATGCATGTTTNTGGTTTATTGTCGTAAAAGTTTCTCCTGCAAGCAATGTTATAATCACGCTTTGTTCAAGGTTAGTAACTTGCAATTGGTATCAACAGTTTTGTTAGTTTAAATAACCTACTTAAGCTGGCAAAAAAGACGTGGATTAGGCACCTGGAAGTATTATAAAGTGTACAGAAGAAGGAAAGTGGAATTATTTCCTTCCTCCTTGTGCCAATGCTCTAACATAACAGTGAAATAATTTCAATTTAGTTGAACATTGAGTCTTTTTATAAAACATTTTTTTAACGTTAGCTGAACTCGGTAACATGCATAACTTCGTGAACAATTCTGCGCCTTTTGCGTTGTCTGAGCCATTTTGTTCGACATTTGACTGTTGATTCAAACAGCGGAACTTTTCATTGCGCATAGCTCTCGATAAGTAGATGCAGACTAAGACAATTTCAACGCTCCGTGTAAAAGGCAAAAGGAAGTTGTTTGAAAAAGCTAGAGATCCTTATAATATGTTTCGAATGCAACAGAAATTCTTATTTAAGAAATAACCTAGAGGTAAAAAAGGGTCCCATTTTTTTGGTTTTTTTGGTGTCAAATTTCCGGTTCTTTACCACATTAAAATTTGCTGAATCTCATTAATGCATCGAAAACGAAAAACAGCTTTATATTAACCAAAGTCGTGACAAAAAATTTTTTTTACCTAACTATGCATGTTTTCACAACAGTGTCGACTTTTTTACTCAAGCAATATTGTTACTGAGCTGGGTTTAAACGCAAGGAAAAAGCAATGAACCGATCGTATTTTGAGCATCTTATTACGGTGAAAATGCGTTTTTTGGCTGCAGGATTCTATGTTGGTTCAACGTTTGACAGGGAATCGCGCTTCTATCGCGA